GACCAAATACTTATTTTCCACCATAATTAGCAAATAAATTCATTAAAAATCCTACAATGTGATTTTCTGGATTTTTTTCCCTCAATTTCTCTGTCATAGTTGACGTGTACCTATGATGAAAATTACAGGCCTCTCTCATCTTTTTAAGTGGGAGAACTTGCACAATTGGTGGCTGACTAAATACTTTTTCCCCCACTGTAATTGAGCTAGAAGAGCAAAACTCTATGAAAGTTATGGTGAATATTCCAGGAAGTATCTTTGTAGTTTTAAAACGTTTGAAAGCTTTTTGAATGGTATTCAATGGCCCAAAACTTAATAAAAGGCATCTGGCAGAAGTAAATTCATCCACAAACACAAATATGATTATATATATATATATATATATATATATATATATATATATATATATATATATATATATATATATATATATATATATATATATATATATAAAGATATATATGACCTTTTTTTCACAAATTTTATGATATAATCATCAAACCATTCAAAAGATTATGGGACAGGAACTGGATAAATTATGTAGGATGACATCACTTGCAAAGGGTAAACTATAAAATGTTATTGAATCAAAATATATTTTTGCTATAAAATGACACTATATAGATTCCTAGTGTTTCTCGGGCTCATGCTATAACCTGGTTGATTACGAGCTGCGATGGCCAGCAACTCCATTCCTCTGTTGAGAGTAAACATAGTGTAACCAAACAACGTCCTCATCTGGTGCCACATTTATTGTGCATGTATGACATACTTCATATTCTATAAATGAAACAAATAGTTAGCTAACAACATCAATTAATACAGATAAATACATTCATCATTATGTAATACTCACAGAGCAGCTTATAAAGTGAAGTTTGCTCCATTCTGAGCCTCTGGTAAGGGACTGAAGACACCAGCGTTTCCTCCGGACTGGACCCCTACAGTTCCTGTGGCTGTGACACAAATTGGGCTTTGTCAGAATTAGAAAGTTACAGATCCTTAAAGAAAAACAGAGTAAATGAGCATCTGATGTCATGTTCACCTTGACTCAACTTCCTCTTTCTGTAAAAGGAGTGGACACAGCAACATTGTGGTCTTTCTGTGGGTGGAAGAGAGAACTAACAAAACTTTTGACCTTATGGGAGATCTGTCGACGTGCCCTTGAGCAGGGCGTTGACCCTGGTTGCTTCTGTGGGAGTCTGTTAGATGACTAATGTGATGTAGATGTTGAGCGGCTTCACTGAAAGTAGATTGTATGTTTTAAATATTCAGTAAAAAAAATACATAATAAAAAGGAAAGATCTGAGGAAGGAGTTTACTGGATAAAAACAGATTTGTGCAAATGTCAATATTGCATTGACCAAACCCGGTCATGTTTACATTTTCAGTAGAATCTGTAGTGTCACTAGGAGAGGTGGAGAGGGGTCAAAGGTTTGACTTCATGGCACATGTGATATTTATCATTTTGTTCAGGATGTAAAGTGGGGTCTGAAATTATTGACACACTTGATAAAGATGAGCAATAATGACTTTATCAAATAAATAATTCAAATACTGAGATATAATGTATGCACCCCAAAAAATGGGGAAATGAAATTATTTTATACTTATACAATTGCTCAGAGAAAGAGATTTTGTTTAACAGGTAATACAAGAAATTCTCAAAAAGGTAGGGGTCAAAATGATTGACACCCCTAAGATTCTTATGAATAAAGCAGTCAAAAGTGTATTATTTGGTCCCATTTTCCTAGCACTCAATAACTACATCAAGCTTGTGAATCTACAAACTTGTTGGATGCATTTGCAGTTAATTTTGGTTGTGTTTGAGATTATTTTGTGCCCAGTAGAAATGAATGGTAAATAATGTATTTTTGGAGTCACTTTTACTGTAATTAAGAACCTCCCCTGTTTTTGGTAATTGTGAGAGGTCAGCATGTCTCGGGGGTATGATCTTTGACACTCTGTAACTTTCTCACTCATCATTATTCACAATTCAATCAGGATTATCCTTAATCATGTTAGCAGCCACATTAATATAGAAGTGTTTTGAAACATATTCTATTCTTATTTATAATCAAACTGACTACAAAATGACACAATATATTATTTACCATTCATTTCTGTTGGGCACAAAATAATCTGAAACACAACCAAACTAACTGCTAATGCATCCAACAAGTTTGTAGAGTCGCAAGCTTGATATAGTCATTGCGTGCTAGGAATATAGGACCCCACTAAACTTTTGACTACTTTATTTATAAGAATCTTTAGCGGTGTCCATAATTTTGATCCCTACCTTTTAGAGAGAAAAGACTACTTGTTAAACAAATGTATTTCTCAGAGCAATTTTATTAGTGTAAATTATATAATTTCACCCTTTTTTTTGCTTACAATATAGCTCAGTACTTGAATTATTTATTTTATACAGTCATTATTGCTAATCTTCATCAAGGGTGTCAATAATTTCGGACCCCACTGTAGCTATTTGGAGGTCAACTGTGTGTAGATGATCTTGAGAAATGAATATAACAAGTGAAATACAGTATACTGTATTCTAAAATTACATTGGTAAAAAAGCCCCACACACTTGTCCCATGCATAGGCCTACTCATTAGCATCTACAACCATTTCTCTATTTGTCTCTCTCCGCCCACAATGGAAAAATACAATTTCACAGACAAACCCTCACTGCTAAAGAGGAAGAGATCAAACCATAACCACTCAACTCGTCTCTGGTTGAGGAGGGTTGTTGGTTTGTGGTAACTATGACAACCAGTGTAAAGTTTCTCAGTCTTTGTGCACAGTATTTTGTGTGTTGAGAGGCATACACACAAACAACTGACTTAAGTGGTCCAGCCTTTGTTTTGAATGGTCAAAAAGCGTACCATTAAAAAATAAATCTATGTTCCAATCTGCTTAATACTGAAAGGTCCAATATTCAGAAATTGCTTCACCATTTCCTGGTTGCAAATTTTGTTATATTTTGCCTAATTTCAGTATATGTGACAAAACAAGCGCTGTATAGTATAGAAAATAATTGAACCATCTAAACCGCTGTGAAATATATTTTCAGTAACCACAAATATTATATTTTCAGATGTTTGAAGCTGGTGTACAAAGAAAAATCGTAACTTAAGAACTGGGAGGATAGAAATAGCGCCCATAGAACATATCTAACACATCTTAGATATGCTTTCAATGAGAATGACAGAGCTATAACTCACATTTCTTTGAATTTGGTCGGGTTGCCCAAAAGGTTGCATATTGAAGCTAAAAGGGGTGGCTCTCCCATAGACACCAATGTGATAGCAGCTGGATCTGATCTGCTTAATGCATTGACTGACAGTATATGAAGCACAAAAAAGGAGCAAGTAAAATGTCTCGCTTGCTCTTACGTCTCTGCTACTACCACTGTTGATGATGTAAATATTGTAAATAATGGGACTGATGAGACACCTAGTGGAATGTATTGGATGTACACTACAGTATACACAGTATCATATGAATGTAATGTGGACAACTGAGAATGTTATACATTCAGTAAGGTGGTTCTGGATCTCAACATGTCTTCTCCATGCAACACATTATAGAGTTCTTTCATCTGACACCAATACCATGACATTGGTGCACTGATACACATCTCTCTTTTTGTTGAGTCCTGCTAGAATAACACAGTGATATAGTAATGTTTGTAAAATGTAATGTAGGACATAGTGATACAGTAGTAGTAGTAGTAGTAGTAGTAGTAGTAGTAGTAGTAGTAGTAGTAGTTGTTGTTGTTGTTGTTGTTGTTGTTGTTGTTGTTGTTGTTGTTGAGTATTTCATATTGGTTCATATTTGGTCATCTTAAAACCATGAAAGAGGACCAAATTACTAATACCTAATCTGAACACACCTCACCACATCATTTACCTGTCTTGGACAACAGTCAGCAGAGACAGTATGTTAATATGAGAATAGTACCACTTTCATAGTGTCAGTGGTTATACAAATATATTCACAGAAAACAACAGTTGCTTCCACAGCTGTCAGTATCGTGCTTCAAGAGAGCCCACAGAAATAGTCAAATTGACAGGAGCTGTCATTATGAAATGATTATTATAAAACATTATTTGATGATATATGATGTGATATATTATATTAGGATTATGGAAATAATGTATTATCTGTTGTCTCTCTTTAACCATGTCACGCCCTGACTCAAGGGACTCGTATATGTTGAGTCAGGGTGTGTATGTTCTATGTTGTATATTTCTATGTTGATGTTCTAGTATGTCTATTTCTATGTTGGCCGGTGTGGTTCCCAATCAGAGGCAGCTGTCGCTCGTTGTCTCTGATTGGGGACAATACTTAGGCAGCCTTTTGGCACTAGTTAGTGGTGGGATCTTGTTAGTTTATTGTTTTGTCGTTGTGGTTATTCGTTAAATAAACATGTTGGCATATCACGCTGCGCCTTGGTCCTTATCGTTCATCAACGATCGTGACAAACCATCTATCATGAATGATACTTAACTGACAGATAATATGTTATATCTCTATATAATTACAGCTAGCTAGAATCCTATCTACAGTAAATTCTACAGGCCATGTTTGAATGAGCATGACAAGTCAACTGTCTTGGCTCTGCCTTTAGAGATGGCATCAGTATGTCTACAGTACGTTGACTAGGTTGCCAGTTTACAACATATTTAAATTAAGTTCTAGTTTACCACATATTCAAATAAAGACCAGCGGAAAATAGGAACTGAATATGAGTTCTGTATTTTAACTCACCACCCCACTCAGCATTCTCCTGGGACGTGTGTCCGTGCCTGTAAGCGTGTGTGTCTCTGTGCATGTTCTTTGCATAACATTCTGTGTATTCCGTAACAGTTGTGTTTGTGTACTACTAGTGTGTGTGTGTGCTTGAGTGTGTGAGTGTTTGTGGAATTTTCATGAGTGAGCATGTGTGATGTTAAGGGACTTCTTCCTCTTCTGGTCTCCACTCTGAGAGAGGACTTAGAGTAGTGATGATGTCTGGTGAAATCGTCTACTCCGATGTTACATTCACTCGGCATCAGAACCAAGATGCTGGAGCAGAAAGTGAAGTTTCTAAAGGTGAGTCTCTCCTCCTCTTTATTCTCTCTCATTTATATCGTTATATTAGTTTTCAAACATACGTTTACAATACAACATTTCATCACCTTGGGGGGCGAGGGTTGAAATGTCATAATTCAACAAGGAGTTAGTAACAGAAGAAGGCTGTATATACTGAGTGTATAAAACATGAAGAACACCTGCTCTTTCCATTACATACACTGACCAAGTGAAACCAGGTGAACGCTGTGATCAATTATTGATATCAAATGTTAAATCACTGTAGGAGACGGGTTAAAGAAGGATTTTTACCCCTTGAGACAATCGAGACATGGATTGTGTACGTGTGCCATTCAGAGGGTGAATGGGCAAGACAAAAGATCTGGCTTGGTGCGAGGAGCAGGAACGGGCCGGGCTGGACTGGCGACACGCACCACTGGCTTGGTGCGGGGAGCAGGCACGGGCCGGGCCGGACTGGGAACACGCACCACTGGTCTGGTGGGAGGAGCAGGAACGGGCCGGGCTGGACTGGAGACACACACCACAGGTCTGGTGCGAGGAGCAGGAACGGGCCGGGCCGGACTGGGGACACGCACCATTGGCTTGGTGCGGGGAGCAGGCATGGGCTGGACCGGACTAGGAACACGCACCACTGGCTTGGTGCGAGGAGCAGGGACAGGCCTTACCGGACTGGGAACACGCACCACTGGCCTGGTGCGTGGAGCAGGAACAGGCCGGGCCGGACTGGCGACACGCCCCACTGGCCTTGTGCGAGGAACAGGAACAGGCCGGGCCGGACTGGGAACACGCACCACTGGCTTGGTGCGGGGAGCAGGAACGGGCCGGGCCGGACTGGGAACACGCACCACTGGCTTGGTGCGAGGAACAGGAACGGGCCGGACTGGGAACACGAACCACTGGCTTGGTGCTGGGAGCAGGCACGGGTCGTACCGGACTGGGAACACGCACCACTGGCCTGGTGCGAGGAACAGGAACGGGCCAGGCCGGCCTGGGGAGACACACCACAGGTCTGGTGCGAGAAGCAGGAATGGGCCGGGCCGGACTGGAGACACGCACCACTGGTTTGGTGCGAGGAGCAGGAACGGGACGGGCCGGGCTGGGGACACACACCACTGGCTTGGTGCGAGGAGCAGATACGGGCCGAACAGGACTGATAAGGTGCACTGGAGACCAGGAGCGTTGAGCCGGCACTACCCGTCCTGGCTGGCTGCCCACTTTCACACGATACGTGCGGGGCGCTGGCACAGAACGCACTGGGCTGTGCATGCGCACTGGCGATACAGTGCGTATCTCTGCATACTTGGGTTCCTCTATTAACCCACGCTCCTTATGTTGCCTAACCAGCTCCTCTCTCCGTGAATCTACTTCCTCCTTCTCCCTACGAGCTTCCTGCAGTGCCGCCTCTTGAATGGAGCTCTCCCGCTCTTTTCTCGCTATCAGCCCCCGTAATGTGGTGGCCTCCTCTCTTAACCTGCAGATCCGATCCTTCTCTCTCTCTCGGCACTCCTCCTCCAGTGAGGACTCCTCCGGGAGCCCCCACGAGTTAGGGAACAGAAACTCATCATCGTCGTCGTCATCCTCCGACTCCTCAGTATAAAACTGTTCCCACTCTTCTTCCCCATGGTAGTAGGGACTCAACCTGGAAACCCACCGGGTGCAGTGGTCGGGGCTCTTCTCTCTCGCTCCCCGACCACTCCTTTAGCCCCCCCAAAAAAATGTATTGGGGCTGCCTCTCGGGCTTCCTCCTCGGCCGGCGCCTTCTGTGTTGCTGTTGCTCCTCTCCTGCCTGGGCTTCCTTCTTCGCCCAAGGTCCTTTCCCCGCAAATATCTCCTCCCAAGACCAAATCTTCCCCACCTGTGTCCAGGGTGTTTGCTCCTGGGCACGCTGCTTGGTCCGTGTTTGGTGGGATCTTCTGTCACGTTCGTTTAAGGACGGGTCAGACCAAAACTGTGTAAACCCAGGGACTAGAGGGAAAATAAGACATATTTTGGTTGGGATCAATATGAGCTTTTCTGAAGTGTGTTTGTAACTGTACTTGAGGATAAATATGAATTAGTACTAAATGTTTAACATGTGGTATTGTGTGAGTCACTGGGCATCTCTTTTAGAATGTACTATAGCATTATTATGTAAAGTGCAAAGTTTTTGTCCATCTCCATATATAATCCTGTTTTGAAGGATATGTACAGTTTTAGTGCAATGTAAAGGGCATGAGAAGATGACAGTTCCATGTAAAGTAGATGATATTCGTCACACTCTGGACATGTCTGTTGGATTTCACACTGTGAACCAACTTCCAGACAGACATACAGACAGACAGACAGCATCAACCTGTAACATTTGGTTCATGGACAAAAGTGTTTCCTCATTTCTCTTGACAATAAGTTAGCTTTTCTTCAGATATGCTGAATTAGAATATTAGATTGGTTAGTTACCCTAACAGTTAATAAAATGGTTTGCATGTTGGACCTTCCAGTCAGGGGACTCTAACCTAGTAGAGCTCAAAGGAAAGAATATTGAGATAGTGGATTGTAAGAGAGGAACTAGAATGGGACATTTCTTATAGAATGTTGAGATAGTGGATCGTGAGAGAGGAAATAGAATGGTAGAAAATAGAATGAATCCTATCCCAGGTATTCTTTAAAGAGGTGGGGTTTCAAATGTCTCCGGAAGGTGGTGAGTGACTCCGCTGTCCTGGCGTCGTGAGGGAGCTTGTTCCACCATTGGGGTGCCAGAGCAGCGAACAGTTTTGACTGGGCTGAGCGGGAACTATGCTTCCGCAGAGGAAGGGGAGCCAGCAGGCCAGAGGTGGATGAACGCAATGCCCTCGTTTGGGTGTAGGGACTGATCAGAGCCTGAAGGTACGGAGGTGCCGTTCCCCTCACTGCTCCATAGGCAAGCACCATGGTCTTGTAACGGATGCAAGCTTCAACTGGAAGCAAGTGGAGTGTGCGGAGGAGGGGGGTGACGTGAGAGAACTTGGGAAGGTTGAACACCAGACGGGCTGCAGCATTCTGGATGAGTTGTAGGGGTTTAATGGCACAGGCAGGGAGCCCAGCCAACAGCGAGTTGCAGTAATCCAGACGTGAGATGACAAGTGCCTGGATTAGGACCTGTGCCGCTTCCTGTGTAAGGCAGGGTCGTACTCTCCGAATGTTGTAGAGCATGAACCTGCAGGATCGGGTCACCGCCTTGATGTTAGCGGAGAACGACAGGGTGTTGTCCAGGGTCACGCCAAGGCTTTTCGCACTCTGGGAGGAGGACACAACGGAGTTGTCAACCGTGATGGCGAGATCATGGAACGGGCAGTCCTTCCCCGGGAGGAAGAGCAGCTCCGTCTTGCCAGGGTTCAGCTTGAGGTGGTGATCCGTCATCCATACTGATATGTCTGCCAGACATGCAGAGATGCGATTCGCCACCTGGTTATCAGAAGGGGGAAAGGAGAAGATTAGTTGTGTATCGTCAGCGTAGCAATGATAGGAGAGGCCATGTGAGGATATGACAGAGCCAAGTGACTTGGTGTATAGGGAGAAAAGGAGAGGTCCTAGAACTGAGCCCTGGGGGACACCAGTGGTGAGAGCACGTGGTGCGGAGACAGCTTCTCGCCACGCCACTTGGTAGGAGCGACCGGTCAGGTAGGACGCAATCCAGGAGTGAGCCGCGCCGGAGATGCCCAGCTCGGAGAGGGTGGAGAGGAGGATCTGATGGTTCACAGTATCAAAGGCAGCAGACAGGTCTAGAAGGACAAGAGCAGAGGGTACATTTCTAATAGAATGTTGATACAGTTGATTGTGAGAGAGAAACTATACTGAACAAAAATATAAATGCCACAAGCAACAATTTAAAAGATTTTACTGAGTTACAGTTCATATAAGGAAATCAGTCAATTGAAATTAATTAATTAGGCTCTAATCTACGGATGTCACATGACTGGGAATACAGATATGCATCTGTTGGTCATAGATACCTACAAAAAAATGGGCCTTACAATGACCTCAAGATCTCGTTACGGAATTTTTGTGCATTCAAATTGCAAATCGATAAAATACAATCGTGTACGTTGTCCGTAGTTTATGACTGCCCATACCATAACCCCACCACCACCATGGGGCACTCTGTTCACAACGTTGACATCAGCAAACTGCTCACCCACACGACACCATACACAAGGTCTGCGGTTGTGAGGCCAGTTGAACGGACTGCCAAATTCTCTAAAACGACGTTTGAGGTGGCTTATGGTAGAGAAATGTATCTGTGGCATTGTGTTGTGTGACAAAACTGCACATTTTAGAGTGGCCTTTATTGTCCCCAGCACAAGGTGCACCTGTGTAATGATCATGCTGTTTAATCAGCTTCTTGATATCCCACACCTGTCAGGTGGATGGATTATCTTGGCAAAGGAGAAATTCTCACTAACAGGGAAGTGAACATATTTGGCTACATAATTTGAGAGCAATAAGCTTTTTGTGCAAATGGAACATTTCTGGGATCTTTTATTTCAGCTCATGAAACATGGGACCAACACCTTAGATGTTGCGTTTATATATATTTTCAGTGTAGACCGATACATTTCTAATATAATATTGATATAGTGGATTCTTAGAGAGGTACTAGAATGGTACATTTCTAATAGAATGTTGAGATAGTGGAATGTGTGAGAGAAACTAGAATGGTACAATACTAATAGAATGTTGAGATAGTGGAATGTGTGAGAGAAACTAGAATGGTACAATACTAATAGAATGTTGTGATAGTGGAATGTGAGAGAGAAACTAGAATGGTACAATTCTAATAGGGGGTAATCACCATGAGGTTGGTTTTAGGGAAATAATATAATCACGCATGGGGTGCAATATATATAAAATAATTGAAAAAAAGAACAATTTCTTTCTTCATATCTCTGTAACCATAGGAGTAGCCGAACGTGAAGAGGATGTCACATACTCTGAGGTCAGAAGACCAGGAGGTAGAGCTAGAGAGCAGGAGGATCCTGGGAAAGGTGAGGTGTGTGTGTGTTACAGTTAGCTAAGGGTTACATTAAATACCCCTTATTTAACCTTATGACCTTATAACCTCTGACATCCACTCCTTTTCCAGGAAGTGACCCTGACACTAGTGACCCCTCTCCCCCAGTGGGGTCAAAGGCTGCAATCCCGGAGGGAGGGTCTGGGAGTGTTCCCGTGGTGACCCTGGCGTGTCTCTGTGTTCTACTGCTGGGTCTGGCTATCACTCTGGGAGTCCTCTGTGAGTATAGAAACATTTAACTGAACCCTGACCCTTTTACACTACTGAACCGAACTGGTTATGCATCCACTGTAGTTGTTGGCCTGGAACTCTGCTGAAAAGGACAATGTGCAGAGAAAATATCCAAGCCACCCCAGACCAGTACATTTCAGGTTGGTACGATAGTGTGATACACAAGAGGAGAACAATTACCCTCCATCTTGTCTCCTTGTCTCTGTTCCAGATTCTTCCAACATGACTAGTCTTCAAGCTGAGGAGGCTCGCTTTGCCCAGATGAAAGAGAATCTAACAGGTGAGAATATCAATGATCCAGAGGTCTTTAACATTATCAACCCCTTCTATAAATGTTTGAGAAAATCCATATAAATCATTAAGGTGCAGTTTGTCAATGGGGGACTGGCTCAGATTCAAATACTGCCGTTTCACTGTAATATATGAATAACATATTGTTTCATTTTAATATGACTACGGTTAGATAATAGGTCATTCTAGCTTGGACAAGGTTTACTTTCTTACTTTATTGTTAGATATGTACATAAATGAATGTTATTCATCCATATTATTTGCTCTTTCATAACAGGGAAACTGCATGAACTGCAAGACAACTATAAGAGACTGCAGAATGAGAGCCACAACATAACAGGTAGGTAGTCTAGAGCAGGACTCTACTGACATGGGACTGACTAGCTGCTGTTCTCCTATTCATATCACAATATTCATTCACTATTAACGTGAAGTTTAAAAGTGGAAGTTGAACCCAATTTAACTCAAACTTCTCATTTCAGTACAAAGTTCCATGTTATAATGATTAGGATTACATTTACATTGCAGTAGTATTGCTTCCCCAAAACATGTTGTTTGAATATTGTATATGCTATCATTGTACTGTATATGAGGAAAGAGAGGGGTTTTTCTTGACCAGGGAAAAGTCCTGGCCCTAATGGAAACTTAGTCATATGAGTGTGGTGAAGTGCGTTGGAACGTCATTTTGTACTTCAAATGTTTTATGCGCCAAATGCATACCTTTGTATTATGGCCTTAATTCAACAGTTATTTTATAATAAAGAAAAATATATTTACAAAATAATATATATATTTACAAAACATATGAGGGATTGGAAATGATACAGACAATTACATTGATAGAAGCCACAATCTATCTACAATATTAAAGCTGATTTGCCCCCTAAAACAATTTATACAATAAATAAACAGTTATTTTGTAGGTCACTCTTTCATTTGCCAAATGCTCTACATTATAGCTCAAATTCAAGAGAACTACACTGTCTTCTAATAAGATATCAATCTCTTCTGTTCTTAGTCCAGAGAGAGCTGTTATCCTCAGAGCTTCAAGACTGTAAGGCCAACCTGACTAGGGTCAAAGATCTCCCGGCAACCATCCAAGGTTAGTTCTATCCTCCCACGCATGAGAGTACAAAAGTGGATGCCTTATGTACAGTTATAATATACCATATATTGTAATACTGAAATTATACTGTATACTTATATTATTATACGGGATATACAGGATACACATATACATATAGGATATAATATAGTACTGAATATTATACTGTACACTTATATTATTATACTGTATATACTGGCTACACATATAAATATAGGATATACTGTACTACTGTAAGTCATCAAATACAAATTGCATCTCATTGTCTCTTGTCTCCTTGTCTTCTGGTGTGTTCTTGTCTCGCCTCTCTCTCTTACAGGGAGTCAGAATAGATGTAATACCAGTCAGCCGTGTTCCAGCCGTGGCTGGGAGTTCTACAATGGATCATGTTACTACTTCTCTAAAGACAAACTGACCTGGGAACAGAGTCAGTACGCCTGCATCCGCGATGGAGGACACCTGGTCATCATAGAGAGTCAGCAGGAGCAGGTAAGGTTGGAGGTGTAGTACACTACACCGGTCAAAACTTTTAGAACACCTACTTTTTCAAGGGGTTTTCTTTATTTTTTACTATTTTCTACATTGTAGAATAACAGTGAAGACATCAAAACTATGAAATAACACATATGGAATCATGTAGTAACCAAAAAATTGTTAAACAAATCAAAATATATTTTCTATTTGAGATTCTTCAAATAGCCACCTTTTGCCTTGATGACAGCTTTGCACACTCTTGGCATTCTCTCAACCAGCTTCACCTGGAATGCTTTTCCATCAGTCTTGAAGGAGTTCCCACATATGCTGAGCACTTGTTGGCTGCTTTTCCTTTACTCTGCGGTCCGACTCATCCCAAACAATCTCAATTTGGTTGAGATCGGGGGATTGTGGAGGCCAGGTCATCTGATGCAGCACTCCATCACTCTCCTTCTCGGTAAAATAGCCCTTACACAGCCTGGAGGTGTGTTGGGTCATTGTCCTGCTGAAAAACAAATGATAGTCCCACTAAGCCCAAAGCACATGGGATGGCATGTCGCTGAAGAATACTGTGGTAGCCATGCAGGTTAAGTGTGCCTTGAATTCTAAATAAATCACAGAAAGTGTCATCAGCAAAGCACCCCCACACCATAACACCTCCTCCTCCATGCTTTACGGTGGGAAATACACAAGCGGAGATCATCCGTTCAACCACACCGCATCTCACAAAGACACAGCGGTTGGAACCAAAACCCTTAAATTTGGACTCCAGACCAAAGGGCAAATTTCCACCGGTCCTTGGCCCAAGCAAGTCTCTTCTTGTTATTGGTGTCCTTCAGTAGTGACTCTGTCAACCACCGCATTCTTATTGGCAACAAAATGCCTTTCCTCGCTGTCC